ATACCACTGTTTTTATTTCTTTTAATAAATTTTTAACTTTAGAAAATAATTAAAAAAACTGTCCAAATGAAATCTTAGGCTTCATTTGGGATGATTTTCTTACTGTTTTTTAAAGCAGCTTTTTAGTATAAAAATTTTAATATTTAAACTAAAAAATTATTTTAAAAAATAATAAAAAAAAAAACGTCTCAAATGAAACCTTAGTTACTAAGATCAGTACTAGAAATCCATATTAAGATAATCTACATTAGAAAATTAATATCAGAAAAATACACACAAACAGATTTATCAATTCAATAAAGCCCTACATTGAAAAAATAGTTAAAAATTCCCAGCTTGCTCTGTTTGCGCGTCCTGAAGCCTGTATAATTGAATTATCATCTCTTATTAAAAGTATATTTCATACATCATACGCTTTTTATAATCATCGGGCAGAGCTTAGTTGTGACCTTTTACTGTTTTAGTTCTTCATAATAATATGCATTCGACAAGCAAAAATACTTCTAAAGCTTGTCAAATGCATTTGCAATACTTAATCTTTAATATTTAATGTAATAAATTACTATAATTAATTAGACAATTGAACAGATCAATTCAACAAAATTGGGACCAATTCACCAGTTGAACCAGCGATTCTAACATATTCAAAACAGTGATGCAAAAACAATTTTTCAGGATAGACCGAATTGATCTTACGACCAATTCATAGATAAACTGGTCAGACCGGCCAGTCTGATCCGATTGTTAAACCTTTAGTCAGATGTTCGAGAAGTTTTTTACAGTGATTTCAAAATAACTTCCCATAAAACTCAGAAGTCTCATCTAAAAATATAATTTTTGAATGAAACTTAAACAAGTTTTTAAACATTCATTAGAAATTGATTTGATTATTTTAATATATTTTTAAGCATTCCTCATACCCTCCATACTTTTTTTTTTAATATATATATTTTCACCACCACCGCAGCTATTGATATATTCAGGCCCACACATCAGAGAGAGATTATTGTGTCCGGACACAGCTTATGTTCGGAACTCGGTACTGTGAAGTACTGAGCACCGAGCTCAGTATTGAGTACCGAGTTCAGTACCGAGTAGGAGGTGATGTTGCACATTTTCATTGGGCTTCGAACACGTTCGGTGACCTGACCCAATAATGCATTTATACAAATCCAATTCTTGTATCCAGTGGCAAAATAAAATATAGACAAATTTAACCTTTAAGCTTGAATGAAACATCAACCCACCAGAAATTTTGCAAACCAGAAAGCACTGAGCAGGTTTTTTTTTTTTTTTTCATACTCTGAGCAGGTAGTTACAGAAACAGAAGGGTGCATACACAGACAAAGAACAATTACTATTGGTAAATTTGATCTTTTTATCTAATGTTTGTTCATCTCAGATTCTCATCTTAGAAGATCTGTATGCTGCTTCTGTCTTCTTCAAATTAAAAAAGGAAACTAGTATAATTCTAATGAGTTACTTCCCAGCAATTACAAAAAAAACATTTAATCCAAATACCTATTTTCACTAATCCAATCACATTCAACCCAGATTTGACATAGTTCACTATATTGGAATCACATCAATTGTTATGCAGTAAAAAGTAAGATCATAGACTTGTTCTTATTTTTCTGTGATTAGTCCTCATATATTGATAGGAAATACTTGAGTTCGCAAGTAACCCTAATGAGAAATACTTGAGTTCGCAAGCAATCCTAAATAAGTAAAACAGCGAGAAAAATAAAAGAACTTCGGTGGAAACAATAAAAAACAGTAGATAATCTTATAGAAATCAAAGCGAATCAAGAATGAAACAAAGATACATTTGATCCTCAATTTGAGAGGAGGATTGTTCTCTCTCAATCTCTAGACTAGAAGTCTAGAACCCAAAACACCAAAGAGAACTTCAAAAGAAACAATAATCATGCATGAAAACCTAACCCTAATTCCTTCATCCTACTTAAAGCATACAATTAATTAATTAGGCTAAATTACTCCCTTGCCCTTGACAAACCCTCCTTTGCCTCCAAATAGTTTGAATTTGAATTCCTAGTGGGCCCTACCCCTCCCTCTCTCTCTTGGGTATTGCCGCCGCCCCTCCTCCTGTAGCAAAGAACCGGAGGGGCCGGTTGGAGTTGGACCGGTCCACTAGAGACCGGTCTAACACATATCTGATTATGTTCTTGAGACTTAAGAGCAAATAAAATAACAGAAAAGAATGGCAATAACATGTCATCTACTGCTACTAAGAAATATGAGATGAAATAATATTCAACGATCTATTGAAAATAAGAAACAGCCTTCTCTTCAATAGATCAAGTTCAGAAAAGTTGAAAACATAAACAGTACCATTAAATACTCATCAAAGAAAAGTATAACTAAAAACTCTATACTTAGCTGTGAATATGAAACTGAAGTTATAATTACAGAGCAACATGATTGTAACAGAGAAATAGCACTTATAAATACTAAACAAGTGCAAAGGAATCATAAGTGGTTAACAAGAAGAAACTATTCACAAGACACCGTATGACTCCACTGGAAATGCAAGATCACGCCACTTACATGGAATACACTTTCAAATGGCTGGTTCTTCAAGTGCCGCTGTGGTTAAGTCATTGATACGAGGATAAGCGGCCTTCTCATCAAGTTGGTTTTGGATCCATATAAGCATCTTCAGTAATCTTGGAAGTTTCGGATCTGCAAGTAAAATTTTTTAGCTTTGAGTGCATGCGGGTTTGGATATCATAAAAAACAAGCTTTCATGAAAGGAGTATTGACAAGTAGTAGTCAACGAGGTATGCGCAGTCAACCCAAAGAAGGTTGCTATCAATGTAAGACCTCATTTGTTTCTCCTTAATAACGCCATTTTTTATTTAAATCGGCGAAAACAGTTACCGTGTGTTGTTTGTTAAATGACTTTTGCAAAATCTCATTTCTTATATCTCCGTAGTACTGCCGGTCTCAAAAGAAAAAAATGCCGCTTACCCAAACTCTGCTTACCCGATCTCAAAAGGAATGCCGCAACAAAACAAGGCCTAAATCGAGCACATTTGAACCTATTTTCTTCTAGTTAAGATAACCTATGTCTGAAAAATTAAAATAAATTTAAATTTAAACATTTTTAGCTATAGAATTCCCCAGATGTCATGCTAAGACCCAACTAAATTTGGAGTTTGTTAGGATGTTACCTGTAAGTGATGCACCCTAACCAAATTATGAGACATAGTCAAGAGATCTCTAGTGTGTCACCTAAAACTTAACCAAATAATGGTAAAAAGTATGGAACTGTTGACTAGGGACGGCTATAGCTATCTATTAAATTAGTAGTG